TGTAGAATGATAATCTTTGGGGTAAAAAGGCAAAACAAAATGAATAAAAGCCTTGACAATTAAAAATGAGCAAGACTTTTTAACAGGCACTTCACAAAAAAGGATTTCTATTTGTCACAAGTATATTAAAAAAGTGTTCATCATAAGTAGTCATTAGAAAAATGTAAATCAAAATGAAATACTACTAGAATGTCTCCAGTTTTTAAAAGTTGAACTATACTTGACATTATATATGCTTAATGTGGTCGTGTTGATATGTACATGTATGAATGCAACATGATTACCATTGTAGCATTAAATAAGATCTTGAGCATGTCATGTAATCATTTCTTTTCTTTTAGTCAGAATAAATGAGATATAATCTCTTAGCAAGTTTGATATTTATAATGCAATATTGCCTTTATAATCAATATGTTAGATTTCCAGGACTTATTTATCTACTAGTTGCAAGTTTGTGCCCTTAATCAAAATCTCTCCTACATTCCTTCCCCTACCCCTCAGCAACCACTATTTTACTCTAACTTTGTGAGTTTACCTTTTTTAGATTCTACATGTAAGTAATATACAACATTTGTCTTTCTCTGACTTGGCATAATGCCATGAAGTTCGTCCATCAATGTTGGCACAAATGACAGGATTTTGATTTTCCGGTAATTGAATAATATTCCATTGTATATGCATGTATATACATATATTTCACATCTTCTTTACCAATTCATCCCTAGCAGAAATTTAGGTTGAATTTATGTGATAGCTATTTTGAATATGCTGCAATAAACATAGGAGTGCCAATATGTCTCCCATATTCTGTTTTCATTTACTTTGGGTATATAATCAGAAGTCAATTGCTCTAACATATATTAGTTCTATTTTTAGTTTTTTGAGAAACCTCCATATTGTTTTCCATAGTGGCTGAATGAATTTACAGAAATGTACCAATTAAATGACTTAGAGACTAAGTGTTGGTGAGAAAGTGGAGCAGCTTGAATCCTCATGCATTGATGCTGAGAGCTTAAATCCAGTTTTGGAAACTGTTTTACAATTTTGTAGTGTTAAGACCTGTCTTATAATTAATTCAGTACTTTTACTCCAAGTTATGTACTCAGTAGAAATAAATGCTATATCTTCAAAAAGACTTTTACAAGAATATTCATAGCAGCTTTATTCATGGTAGCCCTGAACTAGAAAGGATGCAAATGACCTTCAGTGAAATGGCCTTCAGTGGAGGAATGGAAAGCTGTGGGGTACCTATACAATGGACTACTACAAAACAATATAAAAGAGTAAATCATTCACCTGAAACAGCATGGATAATGCCTACAGACATGTTGAGGAAAAAAGGCAGACAAAGGAATACATGCTATTTTGGATTTCTATGATTTTCAATAAACTGGCAAAAGTAAATTTTCATGATTGAAATCAGTGTATTTCTTTGGTGTGGGTTATTGATTTGAAAAGGGAAAAAGCAAACTTATGAAATTAGATGGAAAAATGTCATCACTTGATTTCAATAGACGTTACATGACTGTTACATACACAAATTATTGATCTGTACAATTAAATTTTGTGTATTTTATAGAATGCAAGTAATAATTCAATAAAGAAAAATGGACAGAGGAGCCTGGCAGACTACAGTCTATGGGGTCACAAAAGAGTCAACAAAACTTAGTGACTAAACAACAACAGGGCAGTTGTGCAAAATCTGCCTTTGAAGATGTTCACAGAGGACTGTGTAGCCTATTGAGAATGATAGTGTTTTACCATATGCAGTGAAAGGGCAATTATTATATATGCCACCTGGAATTTCCTCTTTCCAAATATGAAGCAATTAAATGTACTCTGGGACTCTGTTGTGATTTTAGTTCTTATTCCATTAAAAAAACCCTCTTCTAATGAATTTGAAAACTCCAAAGATGCATCCATTGGACCCAATGCGTCCTCACTGGTGATGGTAAATAAGCCTGTGATAATTATATCATAAGGGCATTTGAATGTGTTCTCGCTTATGACTGCTATGATCCTTCCCTATATGAGTTGGGGTGACTGGTTGATGGAAAAGTGACTGATAACAGGGTCATTAAATAAGGGAATTGACCTTTATTGTCTCTTCTTTTTGACTCTCTTCTGGGATAGATACACAACCAACCACATTTGTTGTTCATGATGCACTGTAGAATGGTAATAATTATGTCCAGGTATTCCAAATGGCAACACAGAAAGTGCTAGTACATGATTGGGGCAACTTGTGTTGTCTTAATGGTCCAGGATTTATCAGCCAGATTTCCATGGAAAAAACTATGCCCGTTAATCCTCCAGAGTTTGAAGATTTTCTTTTTTTTAAAATTGAACCTTAACAATTTCATACTAATTTAGGACATAAGGCATCCATTAATTTTTTTATTAGGTCAATGAAATGTGTATCTCAACAAAGTGTTTTCCTCCCTTTCTGTTAACCTAGGAGAAAGATCCTGGTTTGTTTTAAGAAGAGAAGGAAGCACATTGTTAAAGGAACACTGTTTCTTCATGGTAAGTACTTGACCATGGGACTAACTTGCAATCTAAAAGGTCAGATGTTTTAACCAGAGCCTCATTATGTTTAAGCTTCTAATGTGGATCATACATAGGCAAAGTAATAGTTTGGCCAAAAGAAATTAAATAAAATACAATCAAATTGTGATTTCTTATTTACTAGAGCACTGATATGCAGGAGATGCCCAGATCCCTTCCCCAAAGATTGTTTCAGTATACTTGGTTTACTTGGCTTCTAGTTAGGCATTGGCATTTTTTTTTAAAGAAAAAAAGAAAGGTCCTCCAGTGATTGCAATGGAAATACAGGTTTAATTATGACACACCAAATACTTCCAATGTAAAAAATTATTCCTCGAGAAAGGAAGATTGAAGAGTAATCTATGAAATAATTGGGTGGCAGAATGAAGAACTACCATTCTGCTAAGTTGGTATAGTATGAGGGAATTTGATCCACCCATTAAACGTGTATTCATTGAATTTGAACAACCAAGTCATGAAACCATTTCCCCCCACCTCCAGTTTTAGGTATGGTTTCTCTTAAACCCACAGACTATGTGGTTATGATACTGTAATATACTAGCTTTACTGTTCACACTGGTAGTGTTGGTGTGTGTTTGCGTGCAATGTTGCTTTAGTCATGTCTGACTCTTTGTGACCCTACTGACTCTAGCCCACCCCCACCCCCCACCTCCTCTGTCCATGGGCTTCTCCAGGCAAGAATACTGGAGTAGATTGTTATGCCTTTTTCCAGGGAATCTTGACCCAGGTATCGAACCTGCATCTCTTACGTCTCCTGCATTGGCAGATGGGTTCCTTACCACTAGCACACACAGGTCTTGAAGAAAGAACTCAGGCTGAACAGACTTCAGGAAAATACCTGATTTGGAACCTGGTAATAAAAAAACAGCTCTTTCACACCTTCTATTACCAAAGGGTTAAAGTTAGAAGGCTTCCTACATTGCATGGCATCCCTGAAACATAGAAATTACCACTGTGACCCCATGAAAAATATTTTTTGCAGGATGACAACCTTCACTCTTTTTTTTTAAGCCTATGACACATATTTAATTATTTATTTATTTATTTCCATTTATTTTTATTCGCTGGAGGCTAATTACTTTACAATATTGTAGTGGTTTTTTGCCATACATTGACATGAATCAGCCAAGGATTTACATGTGTTCCCCATCCCGATCCCCCCTTCCACCTCCCTTCCCATCCCATCCCTCTGGGTCTTCCCAGTGCACCAGCCCTGAGCACCTGTCTCATGCATCCAACCTGGGCTGGTGATCTGTTTCACACTTGATAGTATACTTGTTTCAATGCTGTTCTCTCTGAACACCCCACCCTCACCTTCTCCCACAGAGTCTAAAAGTCTGTTCTGTACATCTGTGTCTCTTTTTCTGTTTTGCATATAGGGTTATC